ACACCATGGGTGGTTTTTGAACAAAAAAAAATCTGCCATGAATACGTGAGTGTTTTTTTCTATTTTGTAACATAATTAGATATAATGACTTAATACAATTACAAGAGGTTATGTAAATGTCATTGACTGGTGTCCGACATTAAATTAAAACATTATCTGAAAATTTGACTAAAGAAATTTTAAACAAAAGAAACAAAATCCGTATGAAATTATTCTTAAGGTGGTATAAAAAATCCACTCGAATATCTTGACAGGGAGGTTAAAAAGTGAGGCAAACTTTATTGCGGGTGCAGATGGAAGGAGAATACTATAAAACATCCACCGCCAAAGCAAACAGGGTGACGTAGGTGATGTCCATGGCGAAGTCCAGGCATATTATGGTCCCTCTTTCATCTCAATTGTGGACACTGACCTCCCCGCGGTTTCACCTGGGGTAGCTATTTTCATCACCCGTTGAAATAGTGAGCTAATGTGTGCCGCGAGTTCATCCATAAGAACTATAAAAAATGGGTAGAGGTGTCGGGATATTAGTTTCGCACACTCGGAAAACCTCTCCTACTATGAAAAAGCAAAGAAAACCCCCTAATGTTGACGAGCCCCGCAAATGTATAAAAAAACACGATCTGCGAATTTGCACTTGGAATGTACGCACGTTGTACAGAACAGACACAGTATTCGCTTTGCCGGATGTACTCAAGAAGTACAAAGCCGATATTATTGCCTTCCAGGAAATGCATGGGACAGGCGTAAGTAAATCAGACGATTACGCACTGTATTATAGCTGCCATGAAACGAGACATGAATTTGGCTACGGATTTAGGGTTAACAGGAGAATTAAAGACCTCGTCTCCAGATGAGCGAATTGCTATAATCCGCATAAAAGCGAAGTTCTTCTATATCAGTCTCATTTGCGCCCATGCTCCGACCGAAGATAAATATGAACAGACCAAAGACATATTTTTCAAGCGCCTAGACACAGCATATGACCGTTTCCCTGGCCATGACATTAAAATTCTGCTGGGCTCCACCATCGGAAAATTCAGCCTCCATGAAGAAATATCAGACAACGGCATGAGGTTGATTGACTTCGCGGCAGCAAAAACCTTGATAGTTAGCAGACCACTTGGATTTCTCCCGATCGAACAACGAGAAATCAAATCGATCATGTTGTGATAGTCGGAAGGCATTCATCCAGTGTTTTAGACGTCCTAGCGAATATCGACGCGGACCATTACCTTGTGGCAGCCAAGGTACGCACCCGTCTTAATGTAGCAGCTAAGATGCGATCTAACACAACACGGAAATTTGACGTCGAAAAGCTGCAAACATAACAAATAACAGAAGTCTACTCCGCTCAACTTACCCACTTGCTTGACGAAAGCACCCCTTGTCCCGATAATAATATAGAAGCACAATGACAAAAAATGGCCACTCCCTATAAACTTAAGCAAAAGCCACACTTGGGTACCAAAGACCACCATCACGTAACCCGTGGAAAGATCAGGGGTGTCATAGTGCTACCGATGTGAAAAACTCAGAAAAACCTGCAGACAGTAGCAACACGTAGTGCGATGGAGAATTATCGGGAAAAAGGAGAGAAGAGAAACGTATTTTCAGAAAAAAATAATGTACAGGAGTCAGAATGAAATCCGGAAATTTTATCAACGAGTAAAGCACCAATCCTAAGGCTTTGGTGCAGGCACATCCTCCTGTAGAGATGAAGAAGGAAACCTGGTGACAGATACACCCGTGTCTATGGAGTTGAAAAACGAAACGAAACGAGCGAATAAGGCAAACCTGCAAACACGCAATGCAAGAAAGAATTTTCGGGAGAAAAGGATAGAGGCGAAACGTATTTTCAAAAGAATGATGAAAGAACAAGAAAAACATGAGAGGGAGCAAATCGAGTTGTACAGGAGTTAAAATGAAGTCCGGAAAGTCTAACAACAAGTAAAACACCAAACCGACGGCTTTGGTGCAGGCACCTGTAGAGATGAAGAAGGAAACCTAATGACAGATACAGATAGCGTGCTGAGGATCTGGAAGGAGCATTTTGCCAAGCTTCTGCTATCAAATAGTATCAGTGAATAAGATACCCCAGAACCAATTAGAGATGACGGTATAGATTTTATATCACCTAGCCAAGATGAGGTCAGATTAGCAAGAAGAATAATAAAGCTGCAGGTGCCGATGGATTGACAGCCGAACTCTTCAAGACCGGTGGTCAGATGATGATCAGGAGCATGTACAATTAGCTAGAGATCCAATAATTCGAACCTCAGCATCCTGTGTCCTGTGAACAAAAAAGGAGACGAGACGACATGTGCCAAGAATAGAAGAATTAGCCCCCCTCCAATCGCATATAAAGTGTTATCCAGCGTATTGTTTGCCGACTGAATCCAATAGTCGATGATATTATTGGATCGTATAAATGCGACTTCAGACGTTCAGATTTTCACACTGTGCCGAATCCTGGAAAAGACCCACGAAAAACACATCGACACATACCGCCAATTCGTCGACTACAAAGCCGCATTCGACAGCCCAATCTACTCAGAGGTATTTAAAAATATGTCTTAGTTCGGCATTCCTGCAAAATGAATACGGCTATGCAGAATAACTTTAACTGACATAAGATCAGCAGTTAAAGTCGAAAAGAACCTCTCAATGCCGAACGAGGATTTAGGCGTCAGTTAGTCGTGTGACTTCTTTAACATCCTGCTGAAAAAGGTCATACGAGATGCAAATGTGAACAGAAATGCCAAATTGGATTGGCAGTAAATGGTGAGAAGTCCATGTTGACGGTATAAACGTCCAATAGACTCGAACCAACTGTGGATCTTGAAAACTACAGTTTCGAGGTAGTGCATGATTTTATATACCTCGGTACCGCCATAAGCAAAACTAATAACATCAGTTTTGCTTATGGCGGTACTGAAGTATATAAAATCATTCATGGTCTGAGTAAGCAATACAAAAGCAATGTCCCTCTCGCCAGACCACTCTCACACTCTACAAGGCGCTGATAATCCCTGTTCTGTTGTATGGATCTGAAGCATGGGTTCTTGCCCAAGCGTATTATGCAGCTCTTGGAGCGTTTGAGAGAAATATTCTCCGAAAGATCATTGACTATGAATATCGCCGTCTAATGAACCATGAGATGCACCAATTATTCTCGGACATCGACAATAGTCAGACGAATCGATGGATAGGTCATGTTGTGAGAATGGATGAGGATGTCCCAGCTCAAAAGGCATATGAAAGCGAGCCAAGTGTTAGTTCACGCAGAAGGGGAAGACTACGAATTAGATGGAGAAATCAAGTAGTTTTATCATGGGTGTTCGAATACGGATTTTGCATATACCTTTTGGTCACAATTTTCTGACAAAGTGGCTGTAATTTGTTATTTTGGTTTTGTTTTTCGTGTGCAAATTGTAATATCGACGATTTTATTTATTTTTAATACTTTCAGGTACATTTAAATACCTTGCGAATTTTTCAACCTTAATGCCAGTAATTTACATAAAAATTTCTATTTTGAATGATCCCGCCACATTTATGGTATTTTGATTGGTTTAACCGCTATTTTCCAACGATTTTGCAGTTAATTTAGTAATCTTTCAGATGAGATTTCTAAACACCATTTCGATTTTACCACTCTTATTGCAAAAAAAAGTTATTAAATTTGTTTATAGGTCATTGAAATGTCTCAAAGACATTCTAAATTCAATAAAAATAGCACAACCTATTTCATGTTGTTTAAATATCGAATTCTTGACAAGAATATTACTCCACTTTGCTAGCCATTTGAAATATTAGTCAACGTTTATGGTTTCCTTTAATAAAACGGGGTGTTTGGTGGTCTTAGTTTTATGTTTGACATACCAAACGGATGGAAATAGGCATTTTCTTTCTCTTTATTTGAAAACCATTGGAATGCCAACAATGTCCATTGAATGAAGGAATAAATGAATGGGTGAGTCATGGGCGAAAACTATTGACTTTCATTTGAATAGCAAACATCTTAAGTTTAAAACCCATAATTCAATTTCTCTTCACACGAAACGAAAAACTAGGAAAATTATTTATTGACTTCAAACGGCGTTCACGGTAATAACGCAGCCGCACCGCCGCTTCCCCACACTTATTACACACACACACACAAAAAGAAAGAACAACAAACAAAGAAGAAAATGTCATATTTACCATTCAAGTTCCTTTTGTTCTTAGCAATGAGTCCAAAATTTACATATTACAAAGTAGGCTCATTACATGAAAAAAACGTAGAAGACGTAAAAAAGGTTGGAAACAAGACAAACAATCGGGTATGTTCTGGAACTCACGGCGTGTTCGTTTCACTTCACACATACACTTCACCCCAGAAGTTACTTCATGTTCTGCGTCTCACGTGAATTGAATTTTTCGAACTTCTGCACAACGAAAACAAAAACATATGTTTTTGACATTTTGCAGAAAAAGAAGTAAAGAAAAAGAAATTGTGCAGAAAAAAACATAAGTATTTTTGTGAAAATCAACATGCCTCTAACATTTTGGTTAGCAATTGAGGATTTAAAAAGAAAAGAATGTAACAAGGAGCGCATTAGAAGAAGAGTTTTACGGGATTCTTCAAATCCAATGGATATTCCAAATGATCGGTATGCGATTAAAAACTCATTAAGAAGTATATGTCGATCGACATATACTGGCAGTATATGACCGCCAATTTAAAACTTTTCATAAGGTTTATAGCTTATTACCGACTAAATAAGGAAGGATTCTGCATAATCCAAGCATCTATCTCTTCTAAACTTGTGTCGAGTTCGATTCCAGTCAACATACAACTGGCGGCTGCGCTGAGATTCTTAGCTGTTGGGTCATTTCAAGGAGTCTTGGCAAATGATCTATTCCACCCTATGGGCCGAACCACATTTAGTAAGATATTGTGGAAAGTGGTGAACGCGATTGAAAGTAACTTGTGCCCATCGTGGTTAAATATCGAAATGAGGCAAGAAGAAATTGGATCATCCAAAAAACACTTTTTCCAAAAACATGGCATTCCTGGTGTTGTTGGGTGTGTGGATGGAACTCACATCCGTGTTACGAAACCTAACGACGAAGTCCTTTATTACAACCGAAAAGGATATTTTAGTGTAAATGTCATGGTCGTATGTAAAATAGTGTTATTTTAATGATGGTACTAACCACCTTCTTTTGTACGAAGGTCTGCGATTATCAGATGAAAATAAAAGCTGTGGATGCATCGAAACCTGGTTCTTGTCATGATTCTTTTGTGTGGCTAGTTAGCAATGCAAAAAATTATTACAAGGATTTATATGCTAATGGTCGAAATTGTTGGTTGCTTGGAGACTCTGGGTATGGTTTGGAGCCCTATATCATAACTCCTTATAGGAATCCTGAGTTCAATACAGTTGAACATCGCTTCAATAGACGACACTGCGCTGCTCGAAATATTGTGGAAAGAACAATAGGGAATCTGAAGAGTCGTTTTAGATGTCTACAAATGGCTCTACCTTACACCCCTTTAAAGGTTTCACAAATTGTTAATGTGTGCTGCTCTTTGCACAATATTTGTAAGCATTTCAATTTGCCAATGGATGAAGAGGTGGTAATTCCATCGTCCTCAGATGATGACTCGGAAACTGCTGAATGTAGTATAAACAGTGACGGAGCTAGAGTTCGAGACCATATTGCGCGCTCATTATCAACATAGAAAATGAAAAAATGTAAATTAAATTCAATATATTTTTTTATTAAATAAAAATAATTCACTATGAAAAACAAAACAATTCATTTTATAATATATAGAGATCAATGTAAAAAAACAAAACCTAATAATAAAATAGATCAATAAAATAATTGTACAACAATTCAGTTCCGTATATTCATATTAGCTTTATATTCTTCTAATTCGATTGCCTTCAACTTCAGTTCATTTCGCGTCACTAAATGTTTTTCCACTTGCAGGTTGTGTCTTCTCATTTCACAAATTTCCTGTTTTTTTAGCGTTACTAATTGTTCTAATTTTGTGTCCATTGAGTGTATGCGCTTCTCTATATTTACCAAATATTGCCGATCATCCATCATAGCCTCCCGAACACATTTTATTTCACTAGCAACACTTTTAAAATTTTGGCACTCTTGTCGCATTAGAGAATCCACATCCAAGCCATTTCTCCTTTTCTTTTGGGTGGGCATTTCCAAATCAGGAGAAGCTCTTGCAGATTTATTTGATGTTGGCGACATGCATTGCTCCAGAAATATCGCAGTTGGTGATTTTGGGGTAAATGATTCTGTTACCGGAAAATTTCCGGTAACAGAATCATTTGATTCCTTTCCATTGTTATTTGAAACCGAAGAAATATTTTCTTTGTTTTTTAATCCGAATGTTTTGCAACCAGATATGCCTTCGACAGCCGTATACAGGTTGCAGATTACAGCCAAACGCTCTTCCAATGGAGTCAAAACGAATTTGTTATACTGGCCTCCTCCAGTTGCTCGGCACTCTACTTTGTTATGTGCCAGTTTTGTCTTTACATTTCTCCTCCAATCGGTCCAAGTCTACAAAATAAGTAAATTAAAAGGGGAATTTGCAAATAAATTGTTTACAAGACAATGGATACCTTTCTCCAATCAGAAGCACTTCTAACATGGGGGCCACAGGAATTCAACAAATCGGAAAGTTCAGACCACAATTTGTCTTGTGTGGCTTTATCTTTCTTGCAGTATCCTGCTGCTACATCTGGATGTTTCTCCATGAAATCAATGAATATTTCATCGTGGGCGTTTGTTTTACGGGGAGACCTGTAAAATATTTGTATTTATTTGTTCCTAAAAAAATTTGTTTTACTTACATGGCGCATTTCAATTTTTTTTGTTTTCTTTTTTAACTCCTCTCTTTCCTATTTGTTTTTTTTTTATGGTAAAAAACTAAACGTCAAAACATGACACTTTGCAGAAACAGTGTTGCCGCATAAAATAAATTGTATTCCTTTTTTAAGGTTTTTTTCTGTTATTTGCAGTAATATCGTCAATTTTCGGGATAATTACATAATTTTTTATTTTGTTATTAGCAAAATTAAGTAGAGTTATCAAAGACTCTTTAATATCATTAATTTTTGATAGATTTTATTTAAGTGCAAAATTTGGTAACCCTATATTTTTCGAGCTTATTTGAAAACAGCTGTTTTTGTCAAGTGTGAAATTCATTTGGAAAAAAATGCAACACAAACCTTAGTATGTATTTAAATTTGGTTTTTAATGGCGTTTCATGCTAATTTTGTGACTTTAATAAAATTATACGCAATAATAACATGTTAATCTATCGGCATGTGCCTTTTTTATTTCTAAAAAGATTTTCTTTCATATAGAAAAACATGAATACACCCGACTCTCACTATGAAAATGTAAGTGTAAAGAATACACCTCAAATGGGTGTAAAGTGTGTTACAGAACACCTCGACGTGTGTTCGATACACTTCTGCCGTTGAAGTGAATGCCAGAACATGCCCGAATGTTTGACCAACTAGCCATCGTTTAGTTGCCATGGAAAAATAAAAAGGAAGAAAATTCCCTGCATTTCCATTATTTACCGCTTTCATTGTTTGCTGGAATGCACTTTTGAAAACTGACCAACTAATGAAATGTGTGGGTTTTCACAAATTCCATTTAGCGGCTAAGTAGTAGTCTGTCCAACAAACCTTCTGAGAACAAACGATTTAGAAAAATGCAGCAAAGTTAAAGAATTTAAAAAAAGCTATGAAAATTATTTCCAAAAGTAAACAGTTTATATGTTTTATATTTAATATGCAATTAAGCTGTAGAAGAACCCAATGTTAAAACCAAATTAAATATCAAGAATTAAGAATTCTTAGCAAAAAATTTAGTAAATTCAAAACTTATCATGTTAGGGTAAAATTTTTAAGTTTTTTTACGTATAGTATTTATACGTCATAATGAGGGTATTATAAGTTTGTGTAGTACAAAAAGTTTATAACGCCACGAAATAATGGTCCATCATCATAACTCAACTGCTGAATAGATATATCCATGCGAGTCCGTCTGCCCAATATAATTTGTAATTAAAGTACAGGCCGCCGTTATTTTTTGATGGTGATCGCCCAATATATATTGTGTGAAAAATCGCCCAATATGTATTGTGTGAAAAAGTTTTCAATATATGAAAGAGTGATGATTGACCTTTAATCTAATATACATAAATTATATTGATGTAAAAGGGTGAATATGGAAAATATACTATAATTTATTGAGTGATCTACACATTCCAATAATATCAACACGCAAAGAAATGTAAAAATCTCGAAATTTTGGCAGATCCGGGGTTTAGATCCACTAACTGGTTTTATAGACATTGAGTAACATTTACCATTTTACGAATGCAGAGCCATAATCCCATGAATTTGAACTCCGACTGCGGAACACTACGATTTTTAGTGCGTCGATTACAACCAGTTACTTTTTATACCCTTCACCACACTGTTGTACAGGGTATTATGTCTTTGTGCATATGTTTGTAACAGGCAAAAGGAAACGAGATAGACACATGGTTCCTTTTCAGAATATGCATAGAATCACTTTTTATGTCGATTTATGCATGTCCGCCTGTCCCTGTTAAATTGTAAACAAAGTGTAGGTGGCATTTATGATTCGAATTGGATGAAATGTGGCACAGCCCACTTGTTTGGCCCAAGGACGAACCCTATTGAAATTGGGAAAAATCGGCTCAAATTTAAATATAGCTCCCATACATATTTTCGTCCTGATTAATGTTAATGGTGCACCAAAGTCCATATATATCTTTCGATTTACACGAAATTTGGCACAGCGTAATGAATTACGTATGGAAAGATGTGTGTTAAGTTTTGTGAAAATCGGTTCAGATTTAGATATAGCTCCCATATATATTTTCATCCGATTTAAGGTAAATGGTGTACCAAAGTCCCTTAAAAATCTTTGCTTTGCACGAAATTTGGCACAGCGTAATGAAATAGGTCTGGAATTATGTGTGTTAAATTTCCTGAAATCGGTTCAGATTTAAATATAGAAGCTATATTTAAATCTGACCAAATGAAAAATTTAGTATCGGTGGCATGTTTATGGTTGTGTTAGGATTCATGTTAGAATATGTATATATATATATACCAAAAGTGGTGAAGTGTATCATATAGTCGGCCCCGTCCGACTTTACTACTTTCTTAACTTGATTTTTTATACCCTCCACCATACTATGGAGGGTATATTAATTTTGTCATTCCGTTTGCAACTCATCGAAATATTCATTTCCGACCCTATAAAGTATATATATTCTTGATCAGGGTAAAATTCTAAGACCTAAGACCTAGATCTAGTCATGTCCGTCCGTCCGTCTGATGTAATCACGCTATCTTCTGAAGGAATTGAGATAGATCGCCAAAATTTTGCATAGAGTCGTCATTTGACTGCAGGCAGGTCAAGTTCGAAGATGGGCTTTATGGGTCCAGGTTTAGGCATAGCTCCCATATAAGGGTACCCCCCAATGGTACCCCCCAATTTTCGGTATTTTAGGGTTCTTGAGCGCGGTTTTCAACAGAATTCGCTGAAATTTGGTACATTGGGTTCTTATTGGGTACCAAATTTCTCCACTAAAAATTATAAATATAGGTCCACTTTTTCTGGTAGCCCCCATATAAGGGTACCTCCCAATTTCCAGTTTTTGGGGATTTTTTCACCGAATTGGCTCTAATGTAGCCATTTCGGTTATTATTGGGTACCAAATCTCTCCACAGAAAAGTATAAATATAGATCCCACCAAAAATTATTAATATTCACCCATTTTTAGGGGTAGTCCCCATATAACCCACCTTTTTATGTTAAAATGGTTATCTGATTTGTTCCGTGTGTTGGGGTTGGGTAGTCGTTAGGCTATTTAGCCATCTGTTGATATTGTGATAAAAGAAAACTCAAACATGACGATAATGAAATATATCGACAGACATTTAGGCATCTCCTCAATATAGTGATACCTCCTGAAGGAAAGAATTGAGATAAACAATTAAAATATTGGGTTCAATATTGGCATATACCGGTCATTAATTAGGCATAGCCCTCATATAATGCTATCCCCAAATATTCACTATTTCCTACACTATGTAATCAATATTGGTTCCCCTTAAGGCATGCCCTCATATAACTTTGTAATCTAAATTACAGTAGTTTGAGGATTTTATACTCTACCATGCGTTATCAGTATCAGTCCACTTTTTGGATCTTGCAGATTTTAGGAAAAATCTCCATTAAAAATTGCTGAAGTTTGTATTTGGTGTACATAATGGTTTACATAAATCGGTTTGTAGAATTATCGGTATATGAAATCGTTTCAGATTTGGATATAGCTCACATATAATTTCAAAATTTATGTAAACGATGTACCAAGAACCCAAAATATGACCGATTTATACAACATTTTGAAAACCGTACTGAATTTAGTGTAACCTAAAGAAAGTGTCGTTGAAATCGGTTCAGATTTTAAGTATTAGGTTGGGGAAAATAAATCCATTATTTTTATATGAACTATAAGACTTTATTTAGCATGCTTCGGAATGTCCGATTTGGCCGTTTTGTGGTATGATTTGTTCCCATTTTAAAGGTAACT